TTTAGAATTCCTTGACAGTATTGCCCTATATTTTGATCTTAGAAATTGTAAAACGTTGCCTTTCACACCTAAGTTTATCAGTCATGTATATATTTTTGTTATTGTTTAGGAAATTATTTTTCTTACTATGGATAGTCAGTTATGCTGTGTGTTAGGCAGTTCTTTCTCTTCTTAGCATATTCACAGTTTCCTATTATTGCTGTAACAGTTATCACAAACTTAGTGGCTTAAAACACAACAAATGTATTATTTTACAGTTACAGAGGTCAGAAGTCTGAAGTGGTTATTCTGGGCTACAGTTAACATGTTGGTAAGGCTGCATTCCTTCTGGAGGTTCCAGGGGGAGAATCTGTTCCTTGACTTTTTCAGCTTCTAGAAGCTGCCCTTATTCCAAACTGGCAATCGTATCACTGCAACCTGTGACTCTTCTGCCTCCTTCCCTCACTTATGGAGAAATTGGGCGCACCTGGATAATCCAGGGCAGTCTTTTCATCTCAGGGCTCCTAGTTTAATGTAGTTTGCAAAGTCCCTTTTACATGGTAACATATTTACAGATCTTGAGTATTAGGTCATGTATATCGTTTGTGGGGGTGGGGGCCAGCATTATTCTGCTTCGGTGATGGGTAATGTTGCCTGGATCATATATCATTTTAACATTAGCAGGAGTCTGTTTCTGCATTCTGGATTCCATTGTTCTGTTTTCTTTGCCCTAGGACTACACGTACCACACTATCAAAGGTGATATAGCTTTATAATGAATCTTTGTATGTGGTAGGAATAGCCCTCAACTTATTCTGCTTCTGAATGTTTTAGCTATTCTTGGACTTCACCTTTTCATACACATTTTAGAACCAGCTGGTAAATTGATTCAGATCCTGTTGTGATTGTAATTAGAATTTCATTGAATCTATAGATGTAATTGAGAGTACTAGAAATCTTTATAACAGTGAGAATTCCAGTTTGTGAACATGACTTATCTCTCAATTTATTTATATTCACTTGATAGATTTATTAATATATTTTATATATTCTCTATATAGGGCTTCAACATACAAAGTTAAATTTATTCTTGGGAAGTCTTTTTATTTTTACTGCTGTCATAGGTGATATCTCTTAAAATGTGTTTCTAATGATATGGGTACACAAAAATACAATTGATATTTCATTTTGACTTTGTATAAAACACATTACTAAACTATTCTAGCAAGTTTTCTGAAATTACTTAAAGCTTTTTTATGTACATACTTACATAAACTATAAATGGTATTTGTTTTTTACTTCCTAACATTTATAACACTTATTCAGTGTTTTGAATTATCAATATTGAATAGGAAATCAAGAATATGCATCTTTACTTTGTTTCTAGTATTATTTTCCTAATTAATTATCCTATCTGTCATGGTTTTCAGTAGAATCCTTCAGTTGGATTCAGAAATTTTTTTTTTCATTTTTCAGATGATCTTAGTTTTTACAATGATTGAATTTGAGTTTTACTAAACTACTTTTCTTCTCAAATAAAATGTTAACCTTTTTTTTCATTTATTTGTTAATAAGCAAATTATATTTGGGGTTTATAAATCTTAAACTACCTGTGTACCTATGATAAAGACAAATCAAACATCATGTATGTTGTTTTATATGTACAACAGGCCTTAGTTATGTTACTATTTTGTTGAACTGGTTTTGTTTTATGAGTGGATTTGGTCTATAAATTCTCTTTTCTGATTTCATTTTGGTAACAAGGCTATGCTGGCCTACCACACTGAATTAGGGGCAATTTACATGTCTATCTCTGGAATAGTCTGTATAGATTGGAGTGATATATTTCCTAAAGGTCTAGTGAGATTACTTTTTACAACTGCTTGTGACTAGTACTTATTTGCAGGGTATTTTATTATAATACACAAGATCTGTCCAGAATGTATCCAGCCATGTACTATGAGAAATAGAGACATTTATTGAAGAAGATACAAGATACAAGAAACATTGTGCATAGGACAATGATGCCTCAGTCCCCTTCAAAGTAGGAATTTCAGACCTCACACAGTTCTCCCAGTCACCATCAGTTGCCCTCGTATTTTCCTGAATCTCATCACTGGTCTGAAATCTCTTCCCTTTCAAGAGTGACGTTAGTTTGGGGAGAAGCCGGAAGTCACAGGGTGCCAAATCTGGGCTGTAGCGGGGTTGAATTACCTGGATGATTTGATGTTTCACCAAAAAACTGCTGAGACATGATGCATGAGCGGACACATTGTGATGATGAAGCTGCCAAACACCAGTTGCTCATAGCTGTAGCCTTCTGAATCATCTGAGTAATTTCCAAAGAGGAATGTTGAAGCTTAATGCAATTTTGATGGAGATCCATTGCTCTATTCACTCAGTCAATTTGAATACGACAGCCAAACAGCACACATTCTCACTCAGTGGCGTCTACTGCTCCCACTGACTAGTACAGTGAAGTCATCATTGTTCACCCATGTGCATTCAAGTCCACTCTTCTTGGCTGCCAGGTTACATTGATGTGGAGCAAACCATTCTTGTTATATTAATAATGGTTGGACTTTTCATGGACAGTCTTCATATTAAAAATATTTATGTGAGGCTTCAACTTTCTAATTTATTTTTCTCCATTCTTAATTGACATGTCATTTACATGCAGAAAAATACACAGGTGTTAATTGTGGAACTTGATGAATTTTGATAAAGATATCCTACACCTTCCACAAAATATAGAACAATTTCATCACTGCAGACATTTCCTTCATGCCACTTTCCAGCCAGTTCAAACCTCAGCTTCTGTATTCAAAAAGCACCCATTCTTATAAATGTTAATACTGTATATTTCTCTGCCTCTTAAATTTTATTTTAATGGAATCTAACATGAGGTACTTTTTCATGTCTGACTTTTTCTCTGAACATAATGTCTGTGAGATACAGTCATACTCTTGTGTCAATCAGTGATTAATTCCTTTCTGTTTATGTATAAACTTGCTTACTCTCCTTAGAGGGGAATTGGTTTACTAGTATAAAGGTGATTGTGAGTAAAATGTCATAAACATTTTTGTGCATGTCACTTTGTGAATCATTTGTCATCCATTTCTTTCTCTTGGTTAAATACTTATATATAACATTGTTGGGTCATAGTGGAGCTTTATGTTTAAATTAACAAATAACTGCCAATAATCTTTCCAAAGTAGTAATATGATTTTAAACTGCCAACAGTGATTGCTCTTGCACTTCCACATTCTTATCAATTATTGGTCTTTTTCTAGTTCTAGCAATTCTGATGAGCATGTGTGCATTTAATTATCAACTTGATCGAGTCCTTCATAGGTTCTAGAACTGGTCATTTTTTGGAGGTTTTTACAGGGAGTATTTTCTCCTAGTCTGTGGCTTGTCTATTCAACTTTTCGTGATTTTTGGAATGGCAAAAGTTTTAGTGAGTACTCTTTGCTTCCCAGTTAAATAACCTTTCCCAGCTTGTTTGTAATGGTATTCTTGTATGCTTTCTCTCTAGATTCTTTTTCTAATGTTTTTTTGTTGGATTTTTTCCATTACCATTTATCCCTCTTTTACCTCCTCCCTTCTGCAATCACCACATTGTTGTCCATGTCCGTGGGTCATTTTTCCTTTTTTGCGTCATCTCTTGATACTCTAACCCCCACCCCACCCCCAGAGCTGTCAGCCTGCTCTCTATCTATGGATCTGTCTTTATTTTGCTTGTTTGTTCAGTTAATTCACTAGATTCCACATATAAGTGAGATCATATAGTATTTGTCTTTCTCTGACTGGTCTTATAATTTTAGCTTTTATGTTTAGATCTATGATAGATCTCAAAGTAAAATTTGCCTAAATGCGAAGTAGGGCATACATTATTTTTTTGTTTTTGTTTTTTGCCTAGAAATATCCAATTGTTTTAGAACCACTTCTTAACAACACTTTACTTTTCAAATTTATTGCTTTGGCACTTCTGTTGAAAATTAAATGTGGTCTTTGTGAACTTTATAGTGTTCCATTTATCTGTTTGCCTGTAGGTACACAATTCACACACCAGTACAATAGTGAGTAAATGTGGTAAAAGCAGAAATCCTTGTTTTTATCCTGAAATTAGGGAAAAAGCATTTAGTTTCATACCATTACGTATGATATGTATCTTACTGTGGGACCATGGATTTTCTAAAAAGCAGAAAAATTCTGATTTAGAAGGCACTTACTTGATTTTATTTATCTTTGTCCTTCATGCCCCAACATATTTTTGATGCATTCTAAGCCCTGCGTATTTTTTTAAATCAAACAATGATTATCTGAGTGATTTGGTTTGATAATGATTCTCTTAGTAGACAACAGCATACTCAGATAGGTGTTCTTAGTTCACCTGTTTTTAATCGTGTTTCAAGATGAATAAACAAACTAGATAGATGCCCCTACCCAGAATTTTCCACTTAGGCAAATTGACTTGCATATATGCTTTATCTGTAGTGTTTTACACTTTTCTCTATGTGTCCACATTCTTTATTTGCTGATCCTAAGCACAGCTCTTTAATGGAAAATGTAAGATTGAAGAAAAATCGAATATGTTTTTTTCTCAGTCAGGAAATTTACAAGAGCATATTATGGGCACAGACAATAGTTAACATGAATATTAAATTTTATTTAAAAATTAGTTTTAAATATTAACTTTTGCTATTTTGAAAATTCATGGATATGTTAACATTATCTTTTTCAAATTCGATTAGAGAAAAATGCCTTTAGAAACTTTGTAAACTATAGTGCTTCTCCCTATTTTAAGAAAGTTCTCTTAGGAAGGGATAGCCCTTTTAAAAGGATCCCAGATTAGAGGTCTGAAATGGTTTTTTGTGTGTGTGGTATATGTGTGCATATGGCATAACTCTCTTCTCAATGGTAAAGTTTGAAAAACCCATAGCCCATCAATTATTCTTGGTGCAAATTATCGTTCTTCTCTGCCTTAAAACCAACATTCTATTGATTTTGTTTCCTAGTTCAATTTTGTGGGGAAATTGCTTGGACCAAGGGGAAACTCCTTGAAGAGGCTACAGGAAGAAACGGGTGCTAAAATGTCTATCCTGGGCAAAGGATCGATGAGAGACAAAGCAAAGGTACTGAACTTTGAATATGATATTTAACACATATAAGAGGTTACCTGTACCTACTGATGGCCAAGTTTACAAGCACATCTCAACTGTTCTCCCATCATTTCCTGTGAGTTTCACCTTGCAGGACCCCTCTGTTGCACTTTCCAATGACTTCTCTATTTTTCATAAAAAATAATAATTGGCCTTTTTTTCAGAGCATGCAATTCTGTATTTTTATTCTTTTTAACCCTTGGTGTCGGATGTGATCAAATGTTTTCACTTGAGTGCCTTCTGTAGGATATTTCCATATGTATATGTTCATCTTTATTTCCTGATTTGGTTCCCTTTACTTTCTTCCACTGTATCACCTAATCACATCCATTTTATCTCCCTGCTCTAGTTCACTTTGATCTTTTTACCTGAAGCAATTTTAAACACTAATCTGCAAATCTAAGAGAGTTCCACTTTTTTTTGCAATGTTTCAATGATATTAAACAACTCACCTAATACCAAAAGAACAATAGGGTAAGAAATATATATATCAACATTGATGTTTGAAATGATTTATTTCACATCTGAACTATATCATTTTTCCATTTGATAAAATGATAGCAATTTTCTGTGTGTTAGAATTCAACATTTTGGAAAATAACTATTTCTAGGGATTTATTCTTAAAGGATCTTTTAAAATTCATTGAGAAAGGGTGGATGCATTATGACAGTATTTTTTAACTAGGCCATACCCTTCTGATTTGCTATGTTACCATGGAAAAAATAAAATGTTCAAACATCTGCCCTGACCTGTGTGGCTACATTGGGCATTGCTCCACAAAGCAAAGGGCAGCCATCAGTTCCAAGTCAGGGCATGTTCCTGGGTTGTGGGCTGGTCCTGGTCAGGGCACGTGTGAGAGGCAATTGGTTGACGTTTCCCCCCCTCTCCCCTCTCTTCCCTTCTCTCTAAAAGTAAATAAATAAAATCTTCGTTAAAATATTCAAACATCTTTTTTATGACTATGGGAATTACTTAGACAATAATTAGGAAATCTATGAATAGAACAGCTTAAATTAAGAAATGTGTAGTGAGAAATATCACAGAACTGGTACATGCTGCATACATAAAATGTCTTACCTTAATTGTAATAAGTCTATATGTGAAGTTTAGCAAAGACTCTATGAGTGCTGTTTTTAGACTGGATCCATAGTCAATTCTATAAATTTCAAAAGGGATGCTTCTTACTAGTCTTCTGAGTGACTTTTAGTTACTTTATACTGTATATAATTTCAAAAGTAATGACATTCTTTTTAGACTTTCTATATATGAAGACATATTGATACCATAATCTATATCTGCACTGTTATATATTCTTTAATGTCCCTTTTGCTATATATTCTTCAGATATCTCATAGTCTTATAATATAAACTTCATATTGCATACGTTTAATCCCTTATATATTCTTTAAGATTTAGATCAGACACCATCTCCCCAGCAGGACTTCCCTAAACAACTGTAATAGGCTTATTACTCTCTTTTTCAAATCACGTAATTTACTGAAATTTTCTGTTTATTTCACTAAACTTGAAGCTTCCACAGGCCAGAGAAATGTCCCAGTCAGTTTTGCCTATGCAGAGTCTTCACATAGTTCCCCCATGTCTTTTAAAGCAGAGGGCTATATAGTTTTTATTCCCATATATTTGGATATATTTTCCTGTTTATTAAGTTTTAAATTGGATTATTTTTCCCTGTGAGCATGTTAGGTACCAGCATGAGTATTTCAAAATTTAGTATGAAACAAATTTGCTTCCATTAAGTTTCTATTAGGTTTAATTTACTGATATTACTTGTTACTTAATATCCTGTTCCTCATTTATTATTTTTGGGTGATTCATCATATTTGGCTATACTTTGAGTATTTTCATTGTTCTTTTACAAAATAATAACATTTAATAATAACAATAACAATAATAATAACATATTATAAAATACCTGTTTTAGAATCTAGTAAGACCTAAGTACAAAGTAGGTTGAACACACAGCTGATATAAAAGTACAGGCATGGATATGGAAAGGTTTACCTTAGTAAAAGCTTGATTAAAATAAAAATTAATCCTCAGTAAATTATATGTTACTGTGCTGCTATTTGCCTTTCTGCCACATGACCTAAACATTCAGGAAGATTTTATATGATTTTATTTTTCTAGCATATAAGTACAATTCTTCAGATTTTACAGTAGGAGTGTATATGTTTATATGTTTATATATATAGCCACACAGGCATATATTTACGCAGTAATTGAAGAATTACTTGCTAGACATACTGTGTGTCATTCACAGATCTAGTTGACAGGTATAAATATGACAAGCATGTTTTTCCTGTCAGAGAAACAGACAATAAATAAGTGAATAAACACATACTTTCAGGAACTGATAATTGTTATGGATTTAAAAAAAAACAGAGGAAGGGAAAACAGATTAATGGTGTTGGGAACAATATTTTATTATGATAAACAAATAGGACTCTGTATAATAGAAAGGAACCAGCCATAGAAAGATCAGAAATGAGAGACAGGATGCCAAGTGTGATGACTCAAAGGGGGAATATTCTTATCTGTAACCATATCTATGAGTATATGACTATCATGGCAACTATGGCCACATCTTTGTTTATAACGACACTTACTCCCATTTAGCCACCACCTGGTTTCCTTGCTCACCTTCATAGCAAAGCTCACACAAAATGTTATTTGCAATCAGTTGCTGTCAACCATCTTTTAGTGTTTTTCTCCTCAGTGACTTTTCTCATGACTTGCTCCTCTGCCTCTTCCAGACCTGCGAGCCCAGGGCTTAGTCTTCAGACTTAATTTTCCCTTTCATCATATCGTACCATTATATGTATGTATGTATTTATGTGCATATATATGTGTATAAATGAAATGCATATGTATTAGATATTTAATTAGATGTATGGTATTTATATATTTACCTATATATAAAGTAAATATAAACACACATAGAGTGAGAATAGGTCAAAATATTAAAAGAGATATATAGAAAGATTGAGAGAAATATCTTTGTCAACTTTTAGGGCCTTGAACACATGAGCCATGCAGTCTTAAGATTCAAAGATGCCGTTTTTGTTTTCTGTTTGTTCAAAAGCAAATCTCATTGAAAGAGGAAATGAAAAACAGCTTGTATTAACTTGTATGGTGCTTGGTGGCTCCAGCCTACTAAAGTTGGTATTTATTTGAAGTTTATATCAGCAGGCATTAAGGAGTTCAACACACAACTGCAAGTCTGTGTTTCGCCTTCCGTTCAATAAATCCGTACATACATACATACATAAACAAGTGACTTACTGAAGTATACGAGGTACTCCTTTTCCACCTCAGGCAAAGCCCGGTTCAGCAGCCTGCCCTGCAGTCCCAGAGTCAGGTGCCTTTGCAGGAAAACTGGTTTAATAGCCTTCTTTGCTATTGCTGGCCTATCTCAGCTTTCTAGGAAATGGTGCAGATTATTTTTCTGGGTTGAGTATGCTGCTGGGATGTTACACAATGTATGTTATAAACTTGATCTTTACCTTATGATGGAAGGAGATATTTAGGTAGTTGTCTAAATCAGGACCAGATAACTCTGAAAAAATATTTCTTACATAGATGGGGAACTCCCCCAAAACCAGAATTTATTTTTAAAAAATTATGTATTTATGTTTACATGTTTAAACTTCAGTCACCTTCAAAGTACTCTCCATTTGATGCAATACACTTATTGAGACGTTTTTCCCCACTGCTCAAAACAGTTTTTGAGCTCCTCAATTTTGATGCCTTGTAGTGCATCCACCGTTTTTTGTTTCACCTCTTCTACAATGGCAAAACATTTCCTTTTGAGGCCTTTTTTCATCCAGGGAAACAAAAAATGTTGCTTGGGGTGAGATCAGGTGAACAGGGAGGGTGGGGCAAAGGGTCATGCTGTTTTTGGTCAAAATTTGCTGAACACCCAGTACAGTGTGGGCAGGTGTGCTGGTAAATCACCCATCCTGAAACGAATAAATGCATTGAAAAGAGTCTTGAAAAAAAATTCACTGAGGTCGAACATAGCCTTTCACAATAACACCAGCTGGTACACTGCGACAGGTGGGCTCCTAGAACACTCACCTAGCAGGGAAAGCCTGCGCTACACGAGGCCAATCCTCCAGAAGACAATTCCTTTTTTTTTTCTTTTGTTTTGGTCCCCCTCGTTTTTGCTATGTATCCAACTGTAGATTAAGTATTATGCTTTATAGAAAATAATAATTGGACATGACTGAAGCCCTCACAAGACTCAGACATCCTTATGTTTAACACTTTGTTTAAAACAAGGTAAAAAAAGTATCAATTACTTGAAATAGTAAGTGAAAGAATGAAGAACTCATTTTATTTTGCTTTTATACATCTAATGATACTTCTTAATCCTTAGAAAAATATGAAGTTTAAAATTTGCTGTAAGATCATTATAAAATTAACTGCATCACATGGAAAATAGTTCTGGTGCTCTAGTGTAGTAGGAAGATTATAACAAGTTTAATGTTTTTATTCATTTTTTATTGTTGTTTTTGATGATGGTGGTAAATATCCTTTTATATTTTGCTATACCCAGTCAATAGCTCCACTTGCAATGAAAGAAAACAAAAACAAAAATAAAATAAAAGATAGTCATATCCAAGATAATACCAGTAGCAAAATTATACCTTATATTCATGATTTCATCCCCATATTGGTCAGATCCCAGAATATGCGAACTCATATTCTACCTAAAACCATCTAGCTTGAACAGAAGCTAACTTTTTAATTGCCTTAATAAAAGGTATTCTTAAAAAATCTAGAAAGTAAAATATACAGTCTGTTTTTTGTATTTGAATATACCTGAGGATTTAACTGGCAATTCAGAAATTTCTTTAAAGTCTTAGTTCTTCATACACCATATGGCCAGCTGGTTCTAAATAACCATACATCTGCTGGCTTCACCAGCAGTGGCTTCTGAGGATTCTTC